TGCACGTACCAACACATACCGAAATATCATTATCTCTTATTTTGATCGTATCTTAGTCAATCGATCAAATATCATTACTGCCTTGGAAAATCATCCGTCACAGGATTTTATCACTTCCATTGGTTTTTCATTTAGTAAGTGTAGATTCTTTTTCCATTGCCTAACATTTTTTAGCGGTAACTTGTTGAAAGTGTTGAAAATTCATCTTTTTGGGTGCATAAAACCTAACTCGACTTGAATGTCTGCTCCATTTCAATCCCATTTACGGCGGGCCGGTTGAAAATGTATCATAATGCTGTCGAAACAGATGTTGAAATTGTAAAAAGAAACAAAGTACCGAATAAGCTCGTTTGTGGTGATTCTTCTACAGGCTAATACATCACAATTTATATCAAACTGTTCAGAAGGGGAGCAATCATGATAAGTTGGAAAAGATGTAATCAATATCCAGTTCTATGACCGGATGTCACTCACACATGCGCGCTGGTTCGGGTGCTTAGGGGTGGGTGGGTGGATGGCTGTGTCGTGTGTAGTGTTGGCCATGGAAGACCGAGTGTTCTTACGAATTGCTTTTGGGAACATACGGGGTAGGGGGGATTATATAGGTGGATTCCGATCGCCTCCGCTATGGTCAAAATGCCACTCCTAATCTTCTTAGATCGGTGGGTGCGCACTAAGTAGAGCGGTCAAAACGCCTCGGCCACCTTAACTACATGGTTAGATTCCACCAGGTGTGAAACNACGATTTAGCTGTTGATAGTCCTAATTACTCCAGTATTCAACCAGACCGGGTGGTGTTCGAGGACTCGTTCAGATAAACGTCTGCTCGTGAGGCCAATGTACCTTGTCCCACAGGAACAGGTAAATAAGTACACAGAGAGAGAGTCGGCAGAAACTGGCAATATATAGCCCACAGGTGGCCTGGAGATGAACACGATACGCAGTTTTGCTGCTGGGAATGCTTTTTCTACAATTGTCCCCAGCTTACGTGTCACCATCTCGGCAGTTTTGTCACTCTTGAAAGGTAGCAATATGCATGTTTCTTCCCAGCAGTAGTGGTATTATTTTGCAACCGGTGACGCTCCAAAATGTCCACAAATCGCTCCGGGTATCCGATGAAATCACAGAAATTCGCTAGGCATGTCGTTTACCAGTTCGCACACCTTACAGTTTTTCAAATACTGTATGAACCAATATGCAGACAGTAACGTTCTGTACAAATGAATAGTCTCCAGAGCAAATTCATCTTAAGTATGCGATATTCCGCCAGTCAGTTGTGATAAGTTGAACACACTGCATCTAGGAGGCGTGTACACTGAAAGTATAGTCCAATAGGACTACTACGGGTTTCTTATACCAGTTTTATATGTGCTTTATTTTTAATGATTCTTCAAAACGTATGGTTGCAGTATAGGCCCACCTGTTGTCGATTGTTTTCTGAAAGGTTTGCTTGTTTGTAAGCCTATCAGGGTTTTGTATTTGTTGGACGCCTTCTCATTTAACAATAGGCTGTTGGCTAGTCTATCCATGGACGGTCATCTGAAATGGGTTTCAAATACTTTTCCGAACTGTTGGCATTCTTTTTTGGCAAAAATACTATTCAATATTTCAGAAGCTGATCGATCTTATCCAGACACCGAGTTCCAATTTTCCGCACTAATACCCTGCTTCTAATTGTAACATTTAGTAAAAATACACTTACGGAGAAATTCAGAGATCAGATAAAAAGGAAGCTGTTTTCTCGGATGATCTGTTAGTTGTTTACCCCTCCTACCTCTACTCACAGTTTGTCTCAATTCCGAAACAAAACGCTTATTTCGGCACCATCAGTCTACTTGCCTTGATCAGATGTTGTTTCTTCCAGGCACCGCTAACCCCCAAACAAAATCGCGTCCCTACCAACCGATACCTTATTTGCAAAATTTTCCTGTTGCGGTGGCGGCCAAGTGGTTAGATCAACTTGTGACCTAAGTGTCCCGAGTTCGAACCGCTCCACCGCCGCCCGTCTTCCCTACATATGTATTTCCCAGGTAGCCATTGTATTGCCGCGGCCCCCTTCTTGAATGTTGACTGTACATTTTTATATTCAGTGAATGAAAAAAGGAAGTGAAAAGAGAGGTAGTTAATGAAGCTCTGCCTCACACAACCAATCCAGTTGAAAGCAGTGTACTGCGGATTTGAAAAACAAAAAACGCGTAGACACCCTGCTAGTTAAACCCACACCTAATTAAACCCTCTAGCATACAACGTATCTGTAAATCAGATTTTATATATGGAAAATACCGTTTTCAACAAATGATGGCCTCATACTCGCTTCTAACGTGCCAAATACTGTGACCTTTGGGTGAGCGTTCCGCAGGGTGATCGTCAGTACACTATCCTCATATCCCCAGGGACCCTCAGGTTTTCTGCGCTCATTTTAGTCGATAAACCACCGTGAATANTAAGTACGTCGACTGGGGATAACACCACAAATTGGGATGCTATGTCTGATTGATTTCATTTGGCAAAAAATACCTCATCCACGATGCCTGCGATCCAACAATTTGGTTTTCAGTTTCTCACCGAGTACCTTCATGCACCACGAGGAATCGGTAGCCTGTTGCCTATTTCACCAGCTTTATCCACATAGCACCGCTCTGTTGCACTCTCTTCCAAAAGTGTTAAGGGATGTAATCGGGACAGACGCAACTCCGGAAACGGAATCACAGACAAAACTCGAAATCATACCATCAATTGTCTTCAAATTTTCCATCACCGAGACGCAGGAAGAAGGTCACAGAAGTAGTAGTTCGTTTATTGCAAAATATCAATGTGATTCGATGATACATGTTTAAAAGTCGATGGTTGACTGAACAAAACTGACCGATCTTACTAATTGTTCCTGGTCTGCTCAACACAGACGGATTATCATTGGTCCAGAACACCGGTTTTTCATTGATCCTTATGAACCCGTATGATACCTGTTTATTTGTTGCTGGTGTTGCCGTCTGTCACCCCTCTTGAAAGCCTAACCAAGATATTTCGCAAACAGCCTAAACTTAAAATTTGCTCAGCATCTTTCAACCCATCACCTAGATGAGAAGTACATATAAAGGTCACAGTTGCACTCGAACAGTACCACCAAATTTCCTTATTGGAATAGTCAGTGTTGAGATACTACTCACTTGTGAGTAGTACGCAAAAAGATGCAATCAGCGATTTCTTTTACCGACCAAAAATGAACAAGACCTGTTGGAGCAAACTGTTGCTATTTAGTACGGTGAACACAAGAACGCGCATCTGATAAGGGACCGCTGCATTACATATCCTGTGTGTTTGTGGGAATTCTGCAAACTTGTTCCAAATGAGATATTTTTTTATATGAACGACAACTTAACCATATCCATATTGGCATTGGACAACTATCTGTGACCAGCGTCACCAGGAGTTATAACAATAGTAGATATCGTGATAGTTGGTATGATCACCGATTACTGAAAAGGGCCCTTCCGCCATTCTATTTCACTCAACCGGACGAACATTTCAATAGGGCCTAGTATGTACGTAGTTCACTATTCAAAACCCCAGAGGCTTGGTAGGCCAACACAATCTGTGCAACTAGGCTTTAAACGATAGGTTGTGTATGTGTGTGTGTGTGTGTGTGTAATGAAACTACCGTATAAACTGCCAACATTGTTCGCATTAAAAATGTCAGTTCTAGCAGCAACCGAAAAACGGAGTCCTTGGACAACGACCAAGTTGCCAGCTGTTTTATTCACACACACACACACACTGATACGACGGTTAATTCAGCACCGCGCACTTCCTATTTTCCTTTCCCTTAGCTCTATTTATTGTATCTTCCGCAGTGCATACGGTTCAACCCACTGACGGCAATAGATTTTCACTATGCACCCATTTAATCACAGTTTCCTGTCATCCAGGTCGAGATTTCAATGATTGCTCGCCTTTCGTTATGTTCTCTTCTCAAACAAATCATGTCACTGGTTCACTCTTCGGGCGTCCCGTCGAATTCACATCGACCAAATTCGAACAGTTCACACCGTTTCCAACCTTAACTAGTATTCTTCCGCGTGTGATAAACAAATCGCTGAGGTCCATGTCAACCACGAGTGTGGTGACCCTAGGCTATGCTTCGATCCTAATCACGGGAACCTTCAAAAACTAGTACCCCGTGCTGCCCTCGGGTTCGCTCATTCGGTAAACTAAAACGGACTTGCCGGACAGAAACATGGATGCAGTTCAGAAATATTCCAAAATATCATGAACAAGTTGGATTAGAACAAAAACATCACATGTTTTTTCGTTTACAATCACCATCGGCTCAAACGGGGTATGTATCATTCAGATTCTGCTCGTTTCAGAAGCAATTCGTGTACATTGTTCACGTGTGTTGATGTGTTCATAGTGTGAATGTAAGTTTGATCATAATTATAAGTATTATCATTACGTTTCGTGAGCAAATCTTCAAATTTTTGATCGTTTGTCCAGACAATTACCGTTTGCACGGGTTCAGATGAAGAACCGTTCGGTCTGGCGCCGCGAACAAACAGGCTAGACCACAGTGGCCTCGCTTTCATTCTCTGCAACGTTCATGAACTAGGCAAAGGGGCATGAAGGCAGAAAACACAAATATTATCGGTTGCTAGACTGAAACCCCGTAAAACCAATGAAACACGCAGGCAGTGTGTGATCATGGTTGACTAAGGAATGCGTTGTCATTTTCTGAGACGAGACGCACTGGGGGAGGGGGGTTCAGGTGAGAATGGGCAAGACAAAAAAGATGGATTGAGGGTCGATACATTTTCTTCGTTGATAATGGGATCCCTGTATATGCGCTTACACATGCGATGCAAAAACGCGCGAAATGAACAACTCTTCAAAGGTTGGGTGTGAGATAATGAAAATTTTTATCGAAGGGGGAAATGATAACCGCAAATTTTTTTAATGCAAAAGGCCATAAAAATAACAAAAACCGGTCAGAATGTAGCAGCAAACTAGTCACAACAGTTTCCAACACCCGGTCCGGTACTATTATTGCTGAAACTGCTATAGAAACCACTATTAACACGGACGCTGTTCGCTTCTAATGTGCCAGACCATTTCTGTTGATCCACACATGGAATCGGACGAACCAGTTCTATCGTTTGTTCCTGGTCTATTTCAGTCGATCTGAACCCAGCGTTCGATGGTCGCTTAACTTTTTCCAGTTGCGTCGCCGACAAAAAGGGAGTGGCAGTGAATGGAGTAATCCGGGCCGAGCTGTTCTTGCGAGATCCTCGAAAACTGGGCGTGCGCGTTATTGTCCCGGAATCGGAACACCGGTGCATCCCAAGTTGAGCTGGCGCGGAATGCGTTTCCACCGGGGTGCCACCAATCAAAGCCGGCGTACCGACGACAATGTTCGTTTGTGATGGAGGATAGTACGAGAGGGTACTTTCAAAACGATTCTCAACTACATTTTCCTCTCCTTGAGGCTTCCTGAACTGGTAACGACCTGGTATACCGCGAACTCGACCGGGACGTAAGCCGGGGGATTTTCCTTGTCCCGTATGAAAACAATTCATGACCATATTCATCGCCAACAGATTCTTATGCAATTCGATGCTGGTTTGGGCAACAACAACAAGCAAAGATATACAGGGGGAACATGCAGCATTTCACATAGGCATTCACGTGATCAAAAAGACGCATGCACATTATAGACGTACACACACACCAATCACTCACTTCGCGACTGAGAAGACTAGATACGGAAAACGAACAAGCAGAAAATGATTTCTTGCACTTTTTCTTTTAAATTTACGAAGAAATCGATGAGAGAGTATGTTGTCAAATAGGATATTGAACCAATGAAGATTGAGTTATAAATGGCGAGTACAGATTGGAAAATGAACAAGATGTAATAAAGTTGCTTGACTTTTTAGATTAATGCATTTTTACAGATACTATTCAAGTCCATGAAGGAAGTGCACTTGACCAGGTAGAATAACACAAGTCCTCTTACTAAAATTTAACTACTTGAGGATTTTGAAGCAAGAATTTCGCGTGCATATAGCAAACGAAGCGTGAACCGAAGAGCTAGGAAGCACTACTGGACAGCTGTTTTGATCTAGTTGGGTTCCATCAGCAGTGCAAAGCTGTCGACACAACTGGGGATCGAACCCGGTTCCTAAGTATAAGCAGAACGCAACCATGTTACCCAATTGGCAGTTCATCCAACCTTTTTTCTTTTTCCATTTACTTGAGAATTGATGCTGAATCAGAACCTTTTTTTACAAAGTCAATTTGACACAAGCTGGGCAAGACTGGGAAAATTGCTAAGGTTTCAAAGAAAACACATTCAAAGTAATGGGGGTTTCCGACTTTCAAAAAAGATCCTGCTTTGCTCCCATTGGTTGATGGATACGGCGTATTTATTTGTAGGTCCATTGGCATCCTGTTACGAACTTTAAGTGCTCAAAACGGTTCATTCAACGAGGTCAGTGTTTGACCCGATATCGCATTTGGAATATCCACTTGCACGACAGCCCTACGTGGATATGGATCTCACCCAAGGCGGAGTTTGACTATCTTGCCCGAACTCTACAACTCACTAATAGACTCCAGTGCTTTACCATAGTTGTACCAGGTGGATCAATTGCTTTCTAGGGTGCGCCAGTCAGACCAAATAAGCTAAACAAGTACCAGTTAGTACCCCTAGTACCATAAACATATATGGGTAGGGTTGTCTCATAACGTTGGAGCGTCAACAAAAACCAGCCAATATCGAAAAACGTAATAACATGTGATACTACAATGATTATAAAAAACGCAGGGCATTGATGACTCCTTCTCTATGAGATATCCAAAAATGGTAATGCTGCAAATTTCCTGCCGGTATTCTGTGATTAGCTCCACGTTTAGCTCGGATATCGAATAGTAGAGGAACGAGTCTAATTCTACTTGCATCCAAAGCCCTGATACTCATATTGCGCAGCTGGTTATGTTGAAAGCGTTGAGAACTGACCTACAAGAAGTCGGTTGATTTTCACACTTATGGCAACTCTGACAACGAAATCTTAACTTTCACCGAATATTCACATAACATCATTGTTAAATCTGATGCATAAAACGTCTTGAAAATGCACACCAGGCAGAACTGTTGGCTCTAACCCGGATAATCCAGTTGTCCCGTTCTTCTGGTTTATCATTTCACTTGCTTCTACCGGTTTATTGATCAAGTTCCACTTTCATTTTTGCTATCTCAACCAGTTTTGATTAATTTCAACTGACTCTGCTCACCGCCGTACACATTAAGTTCGAACTGCTACATCAGTATAAAGTTCGGCATTCGTAGTATGTTATATTTCGGATCATCATCACTGTCAATCGGGATGCTCTTCTCTGCTAAAGCCGGTTAAGGAGCTTCAAGGATATTTATGGTTTAACTCTTACATAACGTCAGGCTCTTCTTTACACATCTCGAGAACTTGAAGCTACACCAGTCGAATTGTAATAGCTTTAAAAAACTCTGAGGAACACAGAATGTGATAAATTCCTTCGAACAACGATATTCGAATCAGCTATCATCCGAGAGTAATCTATCATGAAGATGTATCATTCTCAGGGACAGTAATGTGATTATCCTGATGTTTTCTTTCTCACTCTCAGTTTTGACCCTAAAAGATGCTCCTGTCAACATTTTTGCTGCGGCTTCCTAGAATAGCCTGTCTTTTCCTCAGAGGTCCATCAAGCTGTGCATCTCTGTCCGCTCACCAACTCAAAGATTTTCTTTTATGTTTAATGTGATTTTTCATATTCAGTTTTCCATTTGGTTATGGTTGTTGCTGCTTGCATGAGCAGGGATCCCCCTGAGTGTGTTCACACAGTTCAAACTTTTAGTGAATTGAAGAACACAATATATAAAAAATTAATTTATGTCACCTGCTATTGATTAAAGTTTGTGCGGTCTTGATCGCTGCAGATGTCCCAATAATTGTGATTCTTCTTTCTGCCATTCCCTCTTCACCACTGGAGATCTTGATGGTTGCCTGGGACGTCTAAAATCAGAATAACAAGATAGAATGACGTGGATGGGTTCTTTTTATATTTTTTTGATTTTAGAAATAAATTCAAGGAATATACTGAGCGCATAATCTACTCTTTGGTGCCAGATACCAGTCGGAATATACTGAAGTTACAAAACGGAGTTCTCTGTAGTTTATCCGCGGCAGGTTTCATTTCTGTGCACTTTTTTACCCGCGGTGAAGTTTGCTACTCGTGAGTAGTGAAAGTAAATTCCAGTAACAATGAATTCAATTTGCTGATAACCAAAGAGTGATTCCAATAAGATGGTGATGGTCGTCAATATTAGTTAATAGAACACAAGTCTGGTTTTATAATTTACTAACAGGGTCTTTGTAATGGATCGACCAGAATATATGGTGTCCGTGTTATACAACCAAACTAAAAGTGTACATTACTGGAGTCAGACACAAGGTAGAAGAATTCTGAACAGTAACTGTATATTGTTCCCTTCCGTATTTATTCTTCTACATAGAGCACCTCAAGGTTTTAGGGTGGACACCCAACTGATTGTACAGAAATTTTGCAGAGGAATTTCCTCCTGCACTCCGGAAGCCAAACAGGATTATGAATTCAGGAATTTGTCTGCGAATTTAGGCAAGGTCAACATCTTCGCCTTCACATTGCACAAGGTGATTGATTTTTTTCTACTAGTGATTTTAAAATACAAATATCAAGTTTTTCAAGTTCCATTTTCGATGGTATTTGGGTTCTTTTGTTACGGCCTGTCCAAATCTACTGAGCTTTTCCATTAAGTATTATTAAATCAAGCGTCTAAACTTGTGCTATAGTGTGCAAATGATAACAAGAAGGGAAGGACTGTGCGAAGCACTACCTTGAAATCAAAAGATGTATGAGAAAGTATTACACACCGCACAGTTACCTGTCGAATTTCGTTGATTTTATTACCACCTCGGCCAATAATGCACCCGATCAGATCATTCGGTAGAAACATTTCCACTTTGTGCTGCGATTCCTGTAGTGCATTGCGAATGCATGGCGTCTTTGGACAGGGTATGCTTAGCAGTGGATCCGGTGTACGTATACCTGGAGAAGTGAGCAAATGATGCATCGATAAGCCGGTTTTCGTATCCGTTATTATGGGTGTGGCTTGTGATGCGGTCAGGAGCGTTTGATAGGTACAGTCCGCTGCGACAGCAGCTTTAACATCAGCTTGCAGTTGGTCAGGGTTAGAGATCGTCGAAGTATTTATCGCCGTAGGGCAATTCATCAATTGCTCCAACTCTCGAATGAAAGGAGCCCGTTCAGCCAAATGCTCGTACGGCCTACGTTGTTGATCAGTCGTTATTAATCCAGTACCAGGAACGAGCCCCGTTGGTCGAGTTTCGGCAGTGATCTCTAACCGCGGTACAACTGGATGAGCTATAAAATACACAAGGGGACATTGAAGTTCCAAGTTTATTTGCCACGGAATTTTCATCAATAGAACTAATTTCCCTTTGATCACGTAATGTTTATCATTTTGTACAAATATGAACTCAAACACTGAACAAGGATGAACTTTTGCGAGGGCCAAAGACTAATAACTTACATATCGAACAACTGCAAATACAGACAAAGGTTCTCCTTTTCAAGTGCGATTGCAAATATTGTTTGACCCATTCATACTAGCTGCTGAGGTCAAGCTCATGGATGAGTTAACAACATATCAGAGTTATTAATCCGCAGATGAGTTAAATCGCTCAGTGACATCCCTTGAAGTTTCGGCCACGATAATATGCTAGACTAATGTTTGGTATAGCTGGCGCAAGTTATTTCTCGCGAAACATGACTTTGGAAATTCGAAAAGTCAAAGCGGT